AGTGTTTTCTGTGGTTAGAGGTTACTTTCTGGAGGTTGGTTATACAGTGGACTCTCTTTTTCTGGTGAGGTCTCCTAAGTACTGCCACTAAACAAGGACATTGTAGAGGTGCAAGAAAGTGATGGTATTTGTGCTGTTGCAGATTGCCGCAGCGCTTGGAACAAGCATCACGTGGCAGAAGGCGCTCCATGACTGGCCTCAAGTGCTCGGCCAGGAGAATCCCTTCAACAACCAGATCGAGGCCATATTCAAGGATCAAGGCGGACACTGACTTCCGAACAGCTGGGGCCTGGCAGCACATTTATGGTGCTGCTTCTCAGGGCCTTCCAGGAAACAAGATGATTAAAGTCAGAAGAAGGTACCAGTTATCAAAGTCAGACTTCTCCCCCTCCTGCCCCTGAAGGGCAGCACAAAGAGCTTGTGAAGAGAGCCCAGCAGCACCGTTTCCAGTGCTGTGTCTGAGCTGTGGAGCCATCCACCAGCACAAACAGCTCATGATTTTGCTGGGGAACCCCAAGAATACAGATGGCAGGATGCCTGCCAGCCAGGCCAGTTGTTGTACTGGCTGGCAAGTCCATGAGACTTTTTCCATTTGCAGCAAATTCCTAGCCCTACTTTTTTTTTCCTGCCCTATAAGAACATGTTTCTGGGTTTTCTACTTCCACTATTTCAACAGTTAATCTGATCCCAAAAGGGGAAGAAAAAACCCAACTCACTATGTTGCTCTGAATTGTGTATATGTAATTGCTCTGTCAATACATTATTTAGCTACTATTTGCTTATTAAAGTGTGCTAGGAATAACAAGGCACCAGGATTTTGATTTGCCTGGCAGTGTTAGTTCAGCCCGACTGCGTGCAGGTTCTTTTCTTCCACCATTTACAAAATTGAAACTTGACAGCCCTTCATGTATTTACAAAAGGCTGCTTTTTTAATGCTTTAGTACATCTTTACTCCCCCAGAGAAAGCACAATAAGCCCAGACCTGTTCTTTTTACGGATAGGACCTAGGAAATCACTGGATAATGAGCAGTCCTCATCCACACTACTTCATATGGAAAGTCCAGAATGAGTAGGGGCTCTTTGACCAGCTTCCCCCAGGGGATAAAGAGAAGAAATCAAAATTAGAGACGGTTCTACTTAATGGAGCCCTAAGAGGGGTACAGCATTTACAGCTTTCCTAGTATCAGGCAAGATGCAACAAGCACTAACCACACACAGAAAAATATCTGGTAAATATAAAGTGTTAATATGACAAAAATAAGACATTTAAATTAACCAAAGCACAGATGTAGTCTGCTCTTTGCTCTGAGTCTGTCCAGTGCTTAAGACACTGGGTGTCTTCACGTATGACCCACCTATTTAGCTACAGAACTAAATAAGAGGCCTGGTCTCATACCCAAGTGCACCAGCCATTGGAGATGCAGCTGATCAGTATTTTGAAGAGGCAGAGGATGACTTGCATCCTTGTCTTGACTGAAGCATCTATTTTGCCATCCTGGATCCTTTATTAAGGCAGGCACTACTGCATTTTTTTTTTTTTAAATAAGACAAGAATTCCAAAATATGCAAGCACAGCAATTAAAGAGGGAGGATGGAGTGGGGAAAGAGACAGCAACAGTAGGCAGCCAAATTTCCAGGCACTCTCACTGCAAATTGTTGTGTTCCATTTGAGGTTCAGCTCTTATAACATCAATTAGGTGTTTTACAAGCTAGCAAAACTGAAATTTCCTCAGCTAAGAGAGGCTTCATGGCTCAAAGCACACCATATTCCATTTATAGACTTTTTTATTAGTGAGCATCTATGAAAAAAGTTTCGTTAAAATGACTTCTCAATTAAAAGAGAAAATCTGAACCTTCCCCCCTCCACACCTGAATCCCAAAGCTCTTAGGTTTAGCCTAGCAGTGTAATTACTCCATATTTGATGCTATAAGGGTGTGAGAGATTTCATGAAATGGGGTTACTATTGGTGAAAGAACACTAGCCAAACTATTTTCTCACTCCTCAGAGGCAAATCTCTGCAGTTCAGCATTAAAATTAGGTTGTACTTAACAGCTTGATCTGTAACTACTGTAAAAACAACTTGTGAATAAAAATGAATTTGTAGGCCTATTAAGGCATCACCTTTTACAACCATGATGTTTCTGTTATTTCAAAGAATGGGAAGAACGACCAAATATCTGCATTTTCCATCATTAATAACTTACTGGTGCCATTGTAACAACGTGTCCCATATTCAAACCAAGGGTACTGAAAGCAGCTCGCTAATTCTAAAGCGTGAACAGGCTACTCCCTGTCTAGTCTAACTGTCTCCTGATCCTTAGAAATACATGGGAAAGAAATAAATCACAGGGTGGGGAAGCATTCCTCTTGAAGACTTAAGTCTTTCCATGATATGCAAACTCTAGAGCAGTATAGACTTCCAGAAGAAATGGTCTTTCAAAGTCCCCTGCCGGATTTAAACATATAAATACAAGGGGATTATGGCACTTGCTAGTTCTAAAGCATGGCAAATAATTTTTTGTTGTTGTTCTGCAGTTCCCAAACCAATCTGTAAAGACTTAAGTCTCTTGTTGAAACAAGACAGTACAAACACTTATTTCTGGTGTTTAGAACTACATCTATAGCTACTTGAAGCTATTTTACTTGATTTGGTCTGGCCTCTTCCAAAAGAGATCAGCTACAAACATGGAAATGACTTGTATAGCTGCATGCTCTCACTGCCTGGAACTGTGCTTCTCTGAAGCTCTACCAAACACTGTAGTCTTACTGGGTTTGTAGTTTAGAAAAAAATTCAAATACAGCATGCAAGACCTCTAAGACTATGGGCTAGAGCACACTTAAGGTTATGATAGAGCACCAGTTGATATCAAATTGATGTTTTCTAGCCCCCTCTGCGCTTTCACTGTTCATCAAGGCTCCAGCAGCCCCAAAGTACTGTTTTTCAACCATCCTCCTTCATAACCCCATACTCCTTGCTACCCCCAAAGCTCAAAGCAAACAGCTCCTCTCCCCCTTTGCAGGAGGGCTCACCTTGGATGAGTGAAAGGGAGGGGGGAAGGCACACAAGTGCAAGTCACTGAAGGGGCAAAGGGAGGTTGCTGGTGAGTTAACACTGCAGGCTTCTGCTGACTGTAGTAGTCCATCATCATCATCATCGATACCTTGTGCTTAGACCTCATCACCCAGGTCAGCTCTTGACACAAAACACTCTGCTTTCTAACTCCCATCACCTGTCACATTTTGTACTGTAGAGTTTGTACATTTCCTTGATGAGAACTTTTTTTATTGTAAGTACTGAACAAACTCAGACTAATTTCTATTATGGGTAACAGCCCAATTAATCTTTCTTTTTCCTCTTAAAGAGGAGAGAAATACAATCCTATACAAAGGAGTATTACTCCCTTATACATATACATAATGTCCATTCTTAACTTCCTTTTATGGGCTCATTTTTCAAAATTTTACATGCAAGGATATTTGAGATTCTGTTGAAAGTTTAAGATGGCTTAACAGCCTGTCATGCAGCTGCATAGGAAACTTGCTCTTTCACAGCTTCTATGCTCATGCATATGCCAGTATATTCCAGCAAGTTTCCAACAACTACTCAATGGCAATCTGGTCTCCAACTCAAACATTTAGTGCTGGCTATGCCTGAGACATGCCATTATCTTTCCAAACCAACCTATATTTTGGATACACATACTGAATGGAATCCTCTCCCAAAAGGTATGCAAAGTTCAGCTTTTCTTCATCTGCCTACAGATAAGTACCTCAACTGCGTAGATTACATTAGGAGAAACACTTGAAGTTTTTGATCATTTATTTTAAAGGAATAAAATAAATCTCAATACATAATTTGGAAATAAAGACATCAGAAAAAGAAAACTAGATTTAAAAGCAATAGTACAAAAATAGCAGGATGAGAACAGTATAGCTGACAGAATTTAGTGTTTCAATGGTGAATATATAACAGCAATGGCAATTAAGTGTTCCACTATTGCATTCACAATAGTGAGGTAATGAGACAGTATTTCACTAAGTCCAGTGAAAAGCTGTGAAAATTGCAACTTTGATTTTAATTAGATAGTTTTGCCATTTTAATGATGGTCTGAAATACAGTTCTTAACCTGCATTTATGGACATGTCTAAGAAGAGCCAAACTTACAGCCAGCAGATCATTAGCTGGTACATAGCAGCTTTGTAATGTCTTAAGGAAAAAACAATTTTACAACATACTCCTGGTTCTGAAATGGAGAATTCCAATTCGTACAAACCATGAGTTCCAGGAAAAAACTGACGTTTAAAACCCTAAAATTAAGTTTTGTTTTGTTTTTTATAGAGGTCCTAGCAAAATATTCAAGACCTTTCCTTTCTATGAAAGTGCAATATACTGCATACATAATTCCACACCTGTAAACCACACAAGTATACACGCCGTGCATTTATCCATACCAGTTTGTATGAGAAGCGGCAAATAAATTCTACTAAAGAGCTATGAATTTTTTTTTGTTCTGACCACAAGAACACCATGCAAGCAAGAGATACCTATATTGCATGTTGTAGAGCAAGATTTACTAGTGACTTTTATGCCTGATCGTTACAAAAAATACTCCAACATGAAGTGCCCATTTTAGCACCATGTTTGTTAAAGAACTCAGTTTTCTTCCTCTTAGGGAGCCAAGTTATCTAGTAAACTTACTTTTTAAAACTAGGTTTTATTTCAGAAGTGTGATTTCCTGCAAGAGTACAGCCATTTCAAAAAGAGGAGATGGTACTTAGCTAAAAAGACTTTCAAGAAAGGAGTTGCATAAATATTTAGCATATTCAGAACTAGTTGCTTCCTCTCATACACAAGTGTTAAAAAGAGTTTAAAAATTCTTAAAGTGAAATAAAAATACTGCATAACATAATCCTGTATAATGGCATACGCTCACCCAAGTTTAAAGCATTTTAAATAACCCAGACTGGTTTCCACACATTTTCTTTGCATATTCTTTTCGTGCAGTTCCTGGGATTTTTTCAGGTATTTTCTCAATATTTCCCTTACATTGTTTAAAGCTTTCCAATAGGTTTGTAGCAGGCATCGGGCTGCCACATGCGAAGGTCGACAAGAACTTGGTTGAGCTTTTGCATCCAAAGGTTACGCTCTTCTTTAGTATCAGCGGACAGCCAGTTCCTAAAAAACAAAACAAAGGACCCCATGAACTTAACAGCTGCCTTTTTCCACCTCAGCTTAGTTATCCTGAAAATGGTCAAGTTGATTCCTCAGCAGAAGCCCAAGTCAGGGGTGCTGGTGGGAAACCAAAAAACAAATCTACATAGTTCTGCAAAAGATTACCAAGTTGCATGGTATTTTCACTTCTGAAAATGAAGCCAATTCCTTTGTTCTGAAGAGCCTGAAGGGGACTGGTAGGCAAAATAGAACCAAAAGTGAACAAACAGCTTAAGCATCATCCCAACAACTTAGAGTTTAGATGAGCTTTGGACTGGCACTGAATCATTAAGCTACAGTATTATAATTAAAGGCATCATACAAGGGTTAACTTCTTTTTGACCTTTAAAATATCAGCTGTAAACATAACATACACAAACATCATGATTTTTCACTTACTTTGTGACACAGAGCGTGTCTCTACATTGACTGA